AGGACCCACTTCTGGGTTTTCCATATGAACCTCTTCTGGCTCCTCCTCGACCCATCCGTTGGCTGCCATGGCAGGGTAGTGGGGGTCTTTGTGGTGAAATTCAGCCATGTTTTGTGTGTGAGAATAGAGGTATGAGAAATATGTAGAGGGTTTAAGTGTGTGGTTCTATGGTATCCTAAAATACACTATAGTATTTTAAATGTCGCATTTGATTATGGGTATCTTAGTGTTGGTAAGTGTAGACTCATTGTTTACTACGACTATTTCCCAACATATGCTGGTTACACCTCAGATAAATATAGTTGATCAGGTTATATTTATTCAAGGTCTAATTACACATCCCGAGGCCTACCCGTAGTTTTCAACTCATCATACTACTTTTATTGCCCTCGTTATGACACTGCCCCAACATGTATGTACCTATACTTTACTTAAAATATTATTATATTTTTGAAAGTATATTTGGAGTCATAGTGTTTTAGTCCCGTTGTATTTATAGTTGTATATCTTGTATGGTTGGATATACTAGTTCACTATAAACAATGCTCTAATACCAATCTGTCACACCCCCGAACCGGAACGGGGGAAATGTCCGGGGGCGGATGACGTCATTGTATAGTATCATAACAATTGAATATAAATGAAACATAGCAACCCAAGTGACGTACATTAATAGTACAAACTTACATAGTTTACATATTGTATTTGTTTAAAAATTACACAACCATGACTGAAAAGTAAAAATTCCATAATGCGGCGAATCCAGTTCTCAAAGACTTAAGTACCTGCTTACGGATTCCATGAGAATACAAATGATTTTAAAAAGCGTCAACATAGAATGTTGGTCAGTTCATAAGCATATTTGTATGAAAAGATTTGTATCTGATTTGTTTAAAAATGGTTTGTATATTTCCAAAAAATACGATATTTTCTATAAAAATGAATTGTAAGTCTTACACCAAAGACTAAAAATGTATGTATGCATGCACTTTGTTTCTTTTTCCTTGTAATTGTAAACTGTTGTATGTTCCCAAAAAATCCAATATTTCATGATGTATGAAAACGGTAGTCTTATACTTTAAGACCAGAAACGTCCATCGTGTACTGAAAAGTAGTATGTAGTTTTATATTTTTATAAAACCGATGAAGTGTAAGCTTCCCGTAAACCAAGATAGTATTGTTAATCCCTATGTAAGTTATTATAACCATGCTTGATGTGACTGTTCTGCCTGTACGATGTTCTTCAGCCGTCAGAATAGGTAAGATATTTGTCACCGTAGACTAGCCCGTCTAGCTGTAGCGAACAACTCATTTGTGGGGTTCTCAATCCCCTATACATCTATATACAACTATCTCGCTCTCTCTCTCTCTGTGAGACTAAAAGTGTACGCTAAGTAGGCACGATGAAGTGAATGTCTCACTAGAGCATTAACGGATTTACGTGAACTACGACTCCCTTTTTCTTGGGTAACAGATTAGTTACTTTATTGAAAATTTATGACATTGTTTTTATGACACCCAAACTAATACCATTTATAGTTGGCCTTGTATTCCGTTTTATGTAAACTATTTATATAAACTTTATATAAATATCGAGTTGAAATCTTGTCTAGTAGTGATATATGTTATTAAAACATGATATCCTTGTGTTTTAACCCACCAAAACAGTGATGACTAAAAATATAATCACTTTTACTAGAAAAACTATTTTTAGCAAAAAGAATTACCAAAACTTGTAGTTTTTACAATTCATATTTTCTTGTTGATACTTGTATTAAATAATGAGTTTCATTTTTGTACATCAACTTATATAATGCGATCTTTGTGAAGATAAAATAGTGTTAACCACATCTTATGCAAATAGTATTTCATATTCAAATATATAATAAAGATGAGACTAGCAAATATCCATAAGATACAGATGTTTTGACTTGTATCCCCCCCCCCCCCCCTAAAAGCATGAAAAACTCGAAAAATGGAGGTATGAAGCTCACCTTGGTTGTTTTCACGAGTTGTAGGAAGGTAGATAGAGAAAATGTCGAGCCTAGGATGAAGTGGATGAACTTTGAAGAGCTTCTTGGAATGGTTGGTGTTCTAGGGATTATTCACACGAAAAATGTGTGTAAATAAGGTGAAATCTACATAAAATCACATAGAAAAGCTAGAAGTTCATGAGATAACTTACCTAAAGCTCGAAAATTTGAAGATGATGAAGAATCATTGGAGCCTTTAACTTGTTTTGAAGAGAGAGTTAGAGGAATGGAAGAATTTTGTGCCTTTGGAGGTCGCACAATGGCCTCTCGGCCATGATATTTATGGAGGAAAAGAAAGTTGATTCATGGATGTATGGAGGGTTTAAGGGTGTGTAGTGTGGATGCATGTAGGATAATGAAATGTAAAGTGCCATTCATAGAGGTATGGTGTACAAAAGTGTGCATGGTTTGGTTATTTGGTGGTTAAAGGGAAGTAAAGCATTGAGGTGGCATGAGTAAGGTCAAACCTTGGATTATTTTAATTAAAACCGATTTCTTTAATTTAAGGGAGGGGTTTTCAGTTTTAGGGTGGCCGAAAACACCATTCTTTAGGGTTTTCGGTCTTGAAGATGTGGGTTATCGGTTCTAAGATGGCCCAATAAGGAGGGTTTTCGGTCAAGGGTTGTTTGGGCTGAAAATCTTAAGGTCAAGATCCATTTTCGATTTATGTACAATTCATTTGATCTATTTTTAGTCTTCTAAATGTTTATTATGTATATGCACATATATAACATCATATACCATTGTCATTTTTGAATTTCAATAATCTATTTCAACAAGGTTACGTAGAGAAATGGTTTGTACATGAACAAAATATCGACCCCAAATTTGCTAGTTGTGACACCTTCAATGGAGAGATATCTCCATTGATTTTCTCGTTCGTTCTCTAAACTCGTTTCTTGAAAAATCGAGATATAGGAAAGAGAATAACTAACTCGTTTCTTGAAAAATCAGGATATAGGGAAGAGAATAACTATTTATGTTCTTGTCAAAACAGAGTCTCTGTTTTCTATTTGTCGCACATCGTCATAAATGAACATAGCTAAAGAGTCTCCCTTACATTTTCAAAATTAGCCCCACCTTAACAAAGCTTATAACGATTATTGTCCTAAACTAGTTTAGTTTGTTAAAACCTTGACCCGTTAATAGATTTCGCCTAAATTACTAAATTTACCCTAACTTTACATCTTTTTACCAAGCTAACAATTTAAGGTAGTTTAATAATAGACTTTTCTTCACAACTAATAGAAATAATATTTATTATATTATATTTTTATCTACTAAATTTAAATTATAAATTGTTTTTTAAATTATATATATATTTTTTAAATTGATTCCAAATTGAGATGTTACAATTCGAACTCTAACACATTATTCCATTGATTGCTTCCAATACTAGACCCATTTCCAATGATCGATTTCCACCCAAATTACACACCGAGCGATTACCAACATACTTGGTCCTAATAGCAAATTGCTTTTATAGCACCAATAACAACTAAAGGCATCCCTACAAAAAAAAGAATGAACAACTCCCACAAGATTTCTCAGTCACAATATCCAATCTTTGCTAGCGAAGTTTTGAACCAAATCAACACACTTAGTATCTCTAGGCAAATCTATAACATAATCCCTTCATTTCGATGTTATATATTGCACAATACCGTTTATTCTTTACTATATAACCTCCGGTTTACATAGCATATCTAAAAATTTGGCATGTCATAACTAGTTTCCTTTTTTTTTTTACATTACTTTTTGTGTTCTTTGCATTACTACCTTCATGTTTAATATATGAGATTATAGTAAATGATATGAACGCTTTTTTTTGAAATCTCCAATTACATACACTCTAGCTTTTTTGAAAACATCTTATTACCTTAAAAGATATTTGAAACATTTATACTCTTTTTCGAAATTTTAAATTACTTTATTTTAGTTAAAGACTTAAAGTTGTCCGGAAATTAGAAAAAAAAACATTTCAAAAATCATTTCATGTTCAAAATGTTAGTAAAATGAATATGCATTTTAAAGATATCTCCAGCAATTAACCTTTCAAAAGTTTTTACTCTTGTCATATCATATTTCCAAAAACCTTTATTAATCAAAATAACTTTTGTTATAAACTCACTTGAATAGTTATGTTTTAAAAAAATATTTTTTATAATTTAATTAATTTATCTTTTTTTTGTTAAATGCTAAAAAGCTATCCTCATATCGATTTTTCAGATTTTAAGTCTATTTTATATTTTTGAAAAATAACATTTAGTTGATATTAATATTTTAATAAATAAAGTAAAACAGTATGTTATACAGTTATAGTAATGTTTTTAATCTTTGGTGTATATATAAATTTGAAATTAGACAATTTTTTTATGACATAAAGTACATAAAATATATTCAAATCAATAAATAATTTAACTAATAAAAAATTCAAAGATAAGTAGTTTATAATTCAATTCCTTTTCTCATTCTCCCTTCATCGTGCAATTTCGGAATTCACCTTTTGAGCAGCGGCGTAGCTTTCTGACTCAACCCTTCTTCTCCGGCGGGAGCAAACGCCGACAGGGCTTGGGTTTTGTATCTTTAGATCTCTCTTCTGATTGGGTTTTTGTTGGGGTGATCCTGATTTTCGACTCTAGGGAGTTTTACGTAATCTGGTGTAGTTATTTCCAATTGATTGATCCAATGGTCTCTAATCACTCAACTTCTTCGTTTGGTGAGTGTTGGAAGAAGAACAAGAATCACGTTCGAAAGACCTCTAATGAAAGAAGCCATACAACATCCAAGTCTGAATCACATTTGTTTTATATTAAAAATTTCCTAGATTATATTATTCACTCTGATATATTACGTACATGTTCTCGGTTTGGAAGAGTTTGTGATGTATTTATCTCCAAAAAGTTGTCACGTATGGGGAAAAGTTTTGGTTTTGTTAGATTTTCGGGCAATGTTAACGTTGATCATATGATTAAGAATCTTTGTGAAGTGTGGTTCGGGTATCATAAGTTGTTTGCTTCTGTTCCTCGTATTCATAAGAAAGAGCCTAATTTCCATAGGAAACCACCTAAGGTGGAGAAGAAACGGGAGAATGTTTCTGTTTCATATGCAAATGTAGTAAGAGGTGCTTATAGTAAGAAATCTTTATCTCACAAGGAAGAATTAGCCATTGTTCTTGAATCTGGGAATAATGTTATTGATAATTTAAGTTAGCGTGTTTAGCTAAGGCCCGCGACTTTAGTACTCTCCCTAATTTGGGCATGTTGTGCCATGATGAAGGTTTTGATAACTTTATTATTCGATATTTGGGTGGCTTGTGGGTGATGTTTAAATTTAAATCCAAAGAAGCATGCAATTTTTTTTCACATGCGATGCCGTAAATCATTGGATTACTGAAAAAAGAAAATGAGACAAAAACTTTGTGCCATCTGATCGTATCGTGTGGGTTGATGTTGAAGGTGTTCCCCGACGTGCTTGGAGTAGGAATTCTTTTAGACATATTTTGGCCAAATGGGCTTCAATCGCCCATCTTGATGATAACATTGGAGAAGACGTGTACAAATCACGTGTTTGTATTATCACCACGTTTCTTGGTATAATTTCTGAAGTGAGTAAAGTTAGTATTGATGGTGAAATATTCCCCATTCGTATCAATGAAGCCCTTGATTGGAATCCTACATTCGTGCGTGAGTTCAACAATATTGATAATGATAATGTTGATGCTATTCACCGTTTTGATCAAGAACAAGATGGTAGCAATGATTCATTACTTGATAAGGAAGATGTCTCATTCGATCCTTTTGGTATTTATGATGTAATGAAAAAAATGGATAATGAGGAATTAAAAAAAACCAACCAAGGTGCATAAGGGTCCATCCCAGGGTAATATCAGAATTCTGCTTCAAAAAATGAAAACTCAAACTTACAGGGGCCACCTCCTGTTGTTGGTTCTGGTCCAGCTCTTTTCGAGCACCATGATCCTGATAAATGCGACCCAACATAGGCCTATTCACAGCCAAAAGTCCTGCCGATAGCAGCTCAAGCTGTCGATATTCAGACATCCCCTGTTGCTGTCAAAATTGCGATAGCAGCTCCTGCTGCTGTTCCGGACGCTACCTCGACTGCTTGAACTCCTATTTTCTCTTCTCCACTTGGAAAAAAATCTGAAGTTAATAAGAATTCACGAGGTTTTGGACGAGTCTCGGGTATTAATTGTTCTGAAGAAGATCTCTCTCATCCCCCGAGTTTCTCGAATCAACGGTTTTCTTTTTCAGGGAACAATCAAAGTATTTCAGATGGCATTGATAAAAATAATTCATTTTAAATGAATTTAAAAAAAACTATTGCAATGGGAGAATCGTTGGGTATAATATGGACGGTTGAATGGATTGTGTTACAGAGATTTTAAAAGGGCAGGTTGAGAGGCAAGTTCCAAAATGAATTGTTTATCTATAAACATTCAAGGGGCGGGCTCCTTAGATAAGAGGAGTTGGATAAAAAAAATCGTGTGATCATCATAAAGTTAACTTTTTTGCTATACAATAAACTAGGTTAGAGATCATTGACGTAGTTATGGCTAGATCTTTTGGGGGTAATTCTTCTTTTATGCACGCTTTTTCTCCTTCTCGTGGAGCTTCTGGGGGTATACTTGTTATTTGGGATGTTGATTTGATTTCTCAAAATTGAGTTTCTATTCACGATGGCTTTGTTGCTATTGAGGCGGTTTGGGTTTGTTCGGGCCTTCAAGTGAATTTTATTGATGTTTATGCTCCTCAAGGGATAAATAATAAAAGACTTATTTGGAATGATATTTATAATATTATCTCAAATTCTTCGGGGGAATGTATTGTTATGGGTGACTGTAATGAAGTTAGAGATGAGTCTGAGAGATTGGGATCGAATTTCAATATGTCTTCTGCGAGAGTTTTTAATGATTTTATTAATTCTCTTGATCTTGTGGACGTTCCTTTGGGTGGTCCTCGATTCACTTGAGCGATAAATGGGGTTCCAAATTCAGTAAGCTCGATAGATTTTTGGTCATGGAGGGTTTTTTGGATACTTTTCCTCATCTTTCAGCTATTGTCTTGGAAAAGAATATTTATTTTCACCGTCATATTGTTCTGTTGGAGCATCGGGTGGATTATGGCCCGACACTTTTTCGTTTATTTCATTCTTGGTTCGATATGGAGGGGTTTGGTAATGTTGTTTGGCAGGCTTGGGCTACCTTGTTGGTGGGGACAGAGTTGACTAACCCTTGGGTCATTTTTAAGAAAAAACTTTAGTTTCTTAAATCTAAACTCAGGGAGTGGAACTCTAAACACGAGGACATGGTGAGTAGCAAAAGGAAGAATTTGCAAGATTTATTAGATTCTACTAATATTAGGCGCATGGAGGATGAAGGATTTGCCAACTTGAGAGAGCAAAGAGTTTCTTTATTGAAGGAGTTGTCGGATCTTGATCATTTAGTTCAAGTTGATCTTGCTCAAAAGGCTAAAACTCAGTGGGGGCATTGAAGGGGATGAGAACTTTAGATTTTTCCATGGAATACTTAAGCATAAAAGGAGACAAATAACTATTCGTGGTTTGATGATTGATGGTGTGTGGGTGGATAATCCGGTCCAGGTCAAGGATGGGTTTCGTAATTATTTTCAATCTTTATTTCAGAAGAGTTCTTTATGGAGACCTGTAACTGATGGTGCTCTTTTTAGTACCTTATCCCAACTGCAGGTTGATTATTTGCAGTCTCCTTTTTCCTATGAGGAGATAAAGAGGGCAGTGTAGGATTGTGGCTCTTCTAAAGCCCCTGGTGATGATGGTTTTACTTTCGGTTTTTTAAAGAGATATTGGGATCTTGTTGTAGCTGATGTTGAGGTTTTTTTCACCATTTTTTCCATCATTCAGTCATCTCAAAAGGGGTGTAATGCCTCTTTTTTCACTATTATCCCAAAATTCAGATATCCGATGACTCCAAAAGATTTTAGACCCAATAGTCTTATTGGTTGCCATTACAAATTATTGGTAAACTTCTAGCTAATCGTCTTGTAGAGGTTATCCATAGTGTTGTTAGCCTTGAGCAATCTGCTTTTATCAAAGCCAGACAAATCCTGGATAATCCTTTTCTTCTGAATGAATTAGTTGCTTGCAGCAAGTCTTCCAAAAATCCTATGATGCTTCTTAAGGTGAATTTTAAGAAAGCTTATGAGTATTTATCTTGGGATTACTTATTGGAAATTATGTCCATTATGTGATTTGGGTCTACGTGGTTTCGGTGGATTAAGGTGCTATTGTCGACTGCTAGGGCTTCTGTGTTGGTTAATGGTTCCCCGATTGACGAATTCCAAATTCACTGTGGGTTGAGACAGGGTGATCTGCTTTCCCCTTTTCTTGTTATTTTGGCTATGGAGGGTCTTCATGTTGCTTTGATGAGGGCTCGAGTAGGGAATGCTCTCAGAGGAACTTCTATTTCAGGAATTGAGATTTCTCATCTCCTTTATGGTGAGGATGTTATGTTGGTCACTCCTTGGGATATTGAGAATGCGAATTGTCTCATTCATATTCTTAGGTGTTTTTATTTGGCTTCAGGGCTTAAACTCAATTTACTTTTTAAATTGATTGGTGTGGGAATTCCTTTTTCCCAAGTTCTTGAGGTGGCTAACAGGATTGGTTATGCAGCTTCTACGCTTCCTTTTGTTCATCTTGGTATCCCAGTGGGTCAGCCTATGACTCGAACGTCCTCTTGGGATTCTATGATTGATAAATTTCGTTATAAGCTTTCAAATTGGGAGGCTAAGTATCTTTCGTTTGGAGGTCACCTTACTTTGGTGAAGTATGTCTTGAGCTCATTATGGAGTTACTTGTTGTTAGTCTTTCTTGCTCCTATCTCGGTTATGAAGGATCTTGAAGGAATGAGGGCGAGATTTATTTGGGGTGCTAACAGGGATGAACGTCAAATGCATTGGGTTAGATGGGACATAGTTTTAGCTTTCAGGGATGAAGGTGGATTGGGGATCGGTAGTCTTTTCTCTTTAAATAGGGCTATGATATTTCGGTGGTGGTGGAGGTTTTATCACTGCCCTGGTCTTCTGTGAGTTAGAGTGATAAAATCTATATATGGTTTGGATGGTGCTTGAAGGAATTTGAGCTATCCTATTACTGGACAAGGTCCTTGGGGTGGGGTTGTTCGTATGTTCTCTCAGTTACGCCACAAAGATATTGATCTTCAATCTCTTTGCCTCATTAGAGTTGGAGATGGTACTCGCACTACTTTTTTGCATGATGTTTGGAGGGGTGAAATGCCTCTGTCTTCCTCTTTTCCTAGATTTTACGCGCTGGATTTGCATAGACATGTTTCTGTTTCTGATAGGTTGTCCATGGGATTAGGGGTTAATACCCTTAGACGTGGCCCTAGATTTGAAACGGAATAGGAGCAATGGAATAACTTTAATTTTCTTCTGCAGGATTTCCAACTCAGACCGGTTCCAGATATACTAGGTTGGGTTAATGATTTGTCAGATAATTTTTCTATTTCTTCAGCTCGAAATTTTTTGGATGGTTTTACGCTTAGTAATGGAGATATTTCTACTCGTTGGAATAATTGGGTTCCAATTAAGATTAGTATTCTTATTTGGAGGATTAGATTGTCTAGTATCCCTACTAGAGAGTGTTTATCTTTTAGGGGTATCCCGGTGGATTCTAATCTTTGTCTTGTCTGCTCTTCTAGAGTGGAGACTGTTGACCATATTTTTGTAGAATGCTCTGATTTGATTGCTTTATGGTATCGTATTGCAATTTGGTGGGGTATTAATTATCCTTCTCAGTTGACTGTGTAATCTGTTATCAACTGGGTTGCTACAACCTTCTGGAGAACCGGTCAGCGGAAAGCTTTTGATGCAGTGATCTTGACTACCTTCTGGTGCATTTGGAACTTCAGGAACGGTTTGATTTTTAGAACGGATACGCCTAAGAAATCTATGATTTTTGATGATGTTGTTCATAAATCTTATATTTGGATTTCTAGTAAGTGTAGTAAAGCCAAGTTTAGTTGATCCTCTTGGGTTCACAATCCTATTTCAGCTACTATTTTGATGTAATTTTTTTTCTAGCGTCTTCCTAGGCTTTATAATATTCCGCCGTTCCAAAAAAAATCAATATATATATATATATATATATATATATATATATATATATATATATATATATATATATATATATATATATATATATATATATATAGGGTTAGGTTCATGTGAGACGACCTAATTTTGTGAGACCGTGAGACGCATTTTTTTATTTTTTTATTATTTTTATTTTTTTAGTTAATTCAAGTTCCGAAAATAATATTTAAAATTTTTTTTTTGGATTTTTTCCATTTATTTTGCATTTTAAAATTATTTTTTAGAATATGTACAGTGTAATATTCTATTAGAATATTTCACGTATTTTTCAAAAAAAATGGAATTTATTTTTATTTATTTTTAGTTAATTCAAGTTCCGAAAATAATATTAAAATTTTTTTTTAGATTTTTTCATTTATTCTGCATTTTAAAATTATTTTTTTAGAATATGTCAGTGTAACATTCTATTAGAATATTTCACGTATTTTTCAAAAAAAAAAACAGATTTTTTTTTAATTTTTAAATTTTTTTTAGTTAATTCAAGTTCCGAAAATAATATTTAAAAAAAGAATTTTTGGATTTTTCCATTTATTTTGCATTTTAAAATTATTTTTAGATTTGGTCTCACGGTTTCAGAAAATTAGAATGGTTTCAAATGAACTGAACCTATATATATATATATATATAATTATATATATATATATATATATATATATATATTATATATATATATATATATATATATATATATATATATATAGATCCGGTAAGAAATTTTTTTGATAGAAAGGTAAAAAGTTTTTTTTCTACATATTTTTTTGACGAACAAAAAAAATGAATCACTAGATGATTCATTTGTAAGATGATTCACAAGAAAAAATTCTCAAAAAAACATTTTTATGATTCATTTTTAAGTAAATTAAGAAAAAATCATTTTTATGACAATTTTAGTGAATAACAACAAAATCATTATATAAATGAATCATCGAGATGTTTTTTTGAGAATTTTTTCTTGTGAATCATCTTACAAATGAATCATCTAATGATTCATTTTGTTGTTCGTGAAAAAAATATGTAGAAAAAATCTTCTTACTTCCTACCAAAAATTCCTTCTTATTTGATCTTTTATATATATATATATATATATATATATATATATATATATATATATATATATATATATATAATATATATATATATATATATATATATATATATATATATATATATATATATATATATATATAACGGAAGGAAAATAAATTGCATGAAATATAAAGATAAAAATGGACAAAATCAAATGAAAAAAGTTTATTGAATAATATACCGATGAAATGACCAAAAGTAAAACCTCACTATTCGATTGATAAATAACATTAAAAAAAACTATTATCGAATATATTTTAAAATTTACCCTCTTTGAAAATTTCAATGTTCGAAAATGGTAGCTAGTTTTCACTCTTCCAAAATCTCTCTAATAGCTCCTCCTTGTTATATATTATTAGCTAGTTTATAATCCGTGAAAACCACAGTTATACAATTAATTGAACTTTTAAAATAAAAACTAAAATTATTATAAATAAATTATTAATTAAGAGATTTTTTAGTTATATAAAATTTAATCATTAATTTAAATAAATATGTGAAATTATATCACTTTATAATTTGTATTAAGTTTATTTTAATTTTTATTATAATGTCATTAATTTAATGTAATTAAAATGAGAAATTTAAAATTTGAAATTTGAAATGGAGAATTAATAGGTTTACAAATGTCATGTATTAATTAGGAGATATAATTTGATGACACATGATAAAAGAAAAATAAAATATATATTAATTAAAAAACTTAATAAGATGACACATATCAAGAGGAGAATAAAATTATTTTTTTATTAAATAGGGAGATAGCTTTTATGATATTTGTTAAATTTAGTTGTTAACACTTATTATAAATTGGTATAAGTAATCGTTATTTAAAACTTCTAAATTTGTTAATAGTATTTTTCTCTATATTGTAACTATAAAATAATTTTTGTAAAATATTCAAGTTGCATTTATGCTTTTGTGATGAAGACACTCTTTGAACCACTTCCACTAATGTGAATATGATGCTTCACCCAACTTAACGCATTTCTCTGATGGAGTCGTTACTAACGAAGTTTTACATTCATCTAACTTATACCTTACGTCCACAAATGGTTCTCTCTCTCTCTATCTCTCTCTCTCTTTATATATATATATATATATATATATATATATATATATATATATATATATATATATATAGGGAAAAGTGAACATGTGGCTGTCATATATGTAATGTTATGTATAGAACCATCAAAATTGATTTCATTTTGGTACAAAAACACAATTTTCTTTTATTGATATATATTTTCCTATTGCCTTTGAACTCATATTATATTTGATTTCGATATTCATCCATAATATCTATCTATTTTGAATGTGTTTTTTACCTAACATTACATATATGTGCTTATCATAAGCTCTAATAGAAGATGCAAAAAAGATGGTAGAGATATTTGATTGCATTTTGTTAAAACCGTGTAATTTTTGATGGTTCTATATCTAACGTTAGGTACATGACAGCCACATATTCCCTAAGCCCATATATATATATATATATATAATATATATATATATATATATATATATATATATATATATATATATATATATATATATATATACTAGTTTATAACCGTGAGAACCATGGTTATACAATTAATTAAACTTTTAAAATAAAATCTAAAAAATATTAATCAATTATTTTAAATAAATTATTAATTAAGAAATTTTTTTTAGTTATATAAATTTTAATCATTGCTTTAAAAAAATGTGAAATCATATCACTTTATAATTTGTATTAAGTTTATTTTAATTTTTATTCTAATGTTATTAATTTAATGTAATTAGAGTGGGAAATTTAAATTTTAAAATTTGAAATGGGGAATCAATATGTTTACAAATAGGGGTGTTCAAAACCGGATATCCGAAAATTCGGATAGTTGATTTTTAATATCCGAATCCGTATCCGAAATTTCGGATTTCCGAAATTTCGGATACGGATTCGGATATTAAACCGGATATCCGAAATTCATTAATTTTAAATAAATATCCACATCTGAACATCTGATCCGTAAAATCACCTCAACTCTTAAAATTAATAAGAGCAACTATGTTAAATCTTGCGACATAGATGGATATCGATAGTAACAAATAAATATATGTAGCATTTACTTAATAGTTTTTTATTATAAGCCAACGAACCAGGATTATAACAAACAAATATATAACGATTGTAAATGGAAATGTTTGCAATAAAAGTTTCAAAAGAATGGTCACGAAAAAGTTGAAAGGGGGGGGGGGGGGGGGGGGGACATTAGTCCATTAAGCATGTCAATGTTTCTAATTTCTCATTTTAAAATATTAAAAAATAAAGAAAAATTATTTTTTTTGATATCGGATATCCGAAATATCTGAAACTTTATAAATTCACTATCCGTATCCGAATCCGAAAAATCGGATATCCGAAATTTCGGATCGGATATTTCAGATGCGGATATTTTTGAACACCCCTATTTACAAATGTCATGTATTAATTAGGAGATATAATATGATGACACATGACAAAAGGAGAATAAAATATGCATTAATCAAGAGGCTTAATAAGATGACACATGTAAAGAGGAGAATTAAACTATTCTTTTATTAGATAGGGATATATATATATATATATATATATATATATATATATATATATATATACTAGCCGTTTACCCGCGCCAAGCGACGGGTGCGAATAGTTTTTTCAGAAATTGGTATGTAGAGGCGATTAGATCTTTTGTGCAAATAGTTTACTACATCTGAACAATTATCTATAAGAATCATTCTATCATATACGAAATCAGAAAGAATAAAAAAATATGAGTTAGGGTTGTTAAAAAATGTGTACGAACATATGATTGATTATTCATTATTAATCGTGAAACATTTCTTTATACACCACATTTGATGTATAAACTTCACTTCTTTTGAATTGTTCGTTAGGATTCACTAATACTTTTGTATTGACACATGATATCCCCTGGGATAATGCCACATAAAGTTGACAATGTGAGAATCAATTCATAAAAATAAATACCTACATTTGGAATTATTTTTCTATGGGGTTTATTGATTGTCACCACGAAACATAACCGATTTGAAAATTATTCTCTTTTCAACTTGAATAAGAACATGTCATCTTCGGACGAACAATGTGGAATACTTGAAAAAAAATATTCTTTTTTTTCCATCATGTTGACCAACAACTATTTCAGTATCAATGTTATTGTGCTGAAAAGTTTTACATATCAATCGGGTGCCCTTACACAATCTATTTCGGAAACGCATATGTATGACATATTTTCTAAGCATTTTTCAATAAAAAAAATTTCTATTTTCCAAAATTAAAAAAAAGTTGTTAATGTTTATAAATGATTTGTTAATAAAAAATATACATTAGTTCATGGGTGATTTTAAAAAAAATCTCAATATTTTGATCGTTAGTTAAAAATAGCGTTTTAGAAAGTCCCAATATTTTGATCAAATTAAAAAAAAAAAAAAAAAAAAAAAGACAAGAGGCCGACTAAATCTATGAAATTGGAGAATTTTTTTTTTTTTTGAAGTTTTAATCAGTAATTTGTCATTTTTTATAAAAATAATAATAATAATAATAATAATAATAATAATAATAATAATAATAATTTTGTATTAAACTATGAACTAACCAAAAATATTGAGACTTTATTGGAAATTTTCCATTAATTTATCAAAATTTACAAAATATAGTGATTTTACTATATATAAAAAATAACATAATAATGTTTTTAAACATTAAGGATAAATATGTTTTTTCACATTGAGGATAAATATGTTTCTTCTAGAAAAAAAAATACTTTCCTTTTTTTATTCCTTTCCGGCCCAAAATTTAAAAAAGCCGTCTTTGAGATTACAACTTAACCCCAATCTTTCCTCCATCGTTGCGTTAAATCCTACCTATTGAAGAGTCGTGAATAAGGATTACATAATCTGGTATTATTAAAGCTCCCTAATTCTATCATTTTCATCAATCACAAACATTATTTGATATGTTCTTAGCGACATTTCCTAGTTCCTCATTAGATTGGGCAGCTTTTAAGTATTTAGAATACTATTATAAGGTTTGGGATCGAACAACTATGGTCTTCATATTTAACTGCATTCTACATTTAATTCTATCATCTTACCATTACCATTTGACTATGGTCTTCATATTTAACAACCAGAAAAAGACCACAATGCCCTTTATTTTTAATTTTTCCGCAATACTTTAAATTATCATATTGTTTTCTTCTCCACAATGCATTCTTAAATCATAAAAATCCATACAAACTTTAATAACCCAATTGCATTTGACAATTGATAATGATGAGAGAAAGACCATATTGCCCTTTTATCTTATTTTCGTAAATGTCATCAATATCAAAAAAATATTATCAAAATAACCTATTATAATTTTATTGCACTATTCCTTACAAATAATAAACCATTCCTTTTTTTGTTGTACCAACCATACTCACAGTTCTTGTTGCTAATGTGCACAAACCTGATAGTTCGACATATCCCATAAAAAGACCACTTTGACCTTTATGCTCACTTTTGTAGCAGCGCATCCATCCTCTATGGTTCTTCAATAGAAAAGGACTAAACCATATCAAATTGCAACCAATTATATAACTGCAATAATTAGTGGACAAAAGATGAAGACTCACATACCAAGTTCGTGGTTAATTGATTAAGACATAAGAGCACCTGCATGAATCATGTCATAAAGGGAATGATATTTAGATCTGATTTTATTTTGAAAACCTATTTATAGTTTGATAAAATACCTTTAGAGGTTGCATATACAGATATGGAAGGAAGACCAGTGACACCAACAATATAAGAGATGAAAACGATGGTAGCATTATATATGAAAGATAAAGGTAAAAAAAGAACATACCCCAAGAGCTTTTTCTATAATTTTGACTTTAGAAAGTATACAGTCTAATAAGTTGTCATTCATTAAAGTGGAGGTGAATAAACGCTTATTATCTAGAATATCAGTAGATTTTTTCATAACCTGAGTGATAATAAGTTGGAAGGAAAAAGGAAAAGAAAAAAGAGTTGAATATCAAATTCTAATAAATATCCAAATAGAAAAGGTTGCAGAAACTAACTGTATCTTCGGCTCTGAAAAACCACTGCACTCTAAAGTAATTTATCATCAGATGTTTTGAAAAACTCCACAATCCTTCCAACATGTTTTTGCTTTCCCTCACCCTGAAAAAATTTACTCACATAAATGACCTTCTTACCCTTGTAGTGAAGAATAGAAATGGCAATGCTAATACATAATGATCTAAACAATTGGTCATAAAATTGAACTTGTTATTAAGGAACTTGTTCAAAATTAGTCAAACTAACCTCTTCCTTTTAAAAAAAAAAAAAAAAGGAATATAATAATGAAAAGAACAAATCTCCTTAATTTGAAGAAAACCTTTGACTCGTTCTTGATAATCTAGTGAGTTATCAGGATCAATAACTTTAAACATAAGAAACATTATAGCAGCAGCCATTACAGATGGAAGATAAACCAGAGACCTTGAATCTGCATTTCGTGTTTATATCACATACTTAATTTGAATTAAATCAAAATCAAAACAATTCTTTGATTCATTACAATATGATTGAGTTTATGAAGGGTTTTTAGAAGGTTACCATTGACGACAACAAGAGCAATTCTTTCGCATCTGTTCAAGAACTCCGAATGAAGCCAATAAGTAATTAAACCAAGCCTCCTTATTGTGTAATCGAATATTGCAAGTGGGGTTACTGGATTCATCTTCCATTGAAGAGACAAAAGAACTAAAACCTCCATTTTCGTTATAGTTTTGGATTCGAATACATATTTTGATCCTTCAACCTAAACGAAAACAACCTACAAAAGAAAGAGATGTGTTAATAACAAAATAATGACATTGGCATATTCACAAACAGTTGGAGTGCATTCGTATATATTAGATGTGATGGATATGGATAAGGATATGGATACATACTTACAGGTCCAAGAGAAGAGGGATATGGATTTCTTCAACTTTAGAAGCGAAAGAAATACAAGCGACTACAGCTAATTGATTCATCCCCGGCTTATCTTTCTGGAAAGAGTCGCTCAACAGGAATCTATCGAAGTAATTAACAGCCAAAATGGTTGTCATAACAACAAATCCATCATGGGTACTAACCCTAATCATCTAATCGACATATTCTTTCCTTAAACCTATTAAACCCCTATCACTGAACAAATCCCCTTCTTAAGAAACAATATTTTCATCTTTAGACAAAAGGGAAGCAAGCTCGTCTTCTTCCCACAACAGATCATGTTCAAAATGGGTAAAATGATGAGCTTTTTGTTTCACGATTTGAATTTCTTGTTCAAATAAGCCAATCCCAAACCCACATCCAAAATCCAAATCGTTTTCTTGATCATCGCATAAAAGACCATCTTCGAAAGAAAATGCAGGTTTTCAGAACCCACATTCTCGTTTTTCATATTCTTGTGGTAAGTAGATGTAAGAAGTTCCAATACATTATCTTAAAGAAAACAAATAGACGAATGCGAAATGAATAACAAAAGATTGGTTGAGATGATGTGGGAATCAGGTCAAAAAGATAAAATATTGGAAAAACTTACCACGTAAATGTCGATAACGACCGAGGTGTTGCCAACCTGTACAACGACATTCTAGAAGGTTCCATGGCGGTCTCATCAAGCCCTAGAGTTTTCTGCAATGGAAGGATTCTCTTATCGAGCGTAGTTACGCTCGATCTGATGACAATGGATACAATTTTGAAAAGGTCTTCGATAATGGTGACGCCTCTTATCCCGACTTCGTCTTCTTCCTGAAAGATGCAATTGTACGAAAAGGTCGGAACTTGATATGTTTGTGTGTACGGTGTGGAGGAGTTTGCATTTGCAATTGTGATGATCGGAGGGATGGTTTGAGAGGAGGATAGCCGTGCCACCAACGCGGAAGATGGCGTAACATGACTTAGGGTTTCTCGATGAAGACGATTAATTTTGGGTTTTTTGAGTATGTGAGCCTAGGAATAAAAAATATTGTTTTATTTGATTGTACTACGAGGAGTAGGTATTGTACCTCTTAAATTTCAAGAAATGTGTAATATGTTTAATGAGATAGTTAAGATATATATATATATATATATATAATATATATATATATATATATATATATATATATATATATATATATATATATATATATATATATGAAAACCCTTTCTTCCTGATTCCTCCTGCATCATATTTACAGGGTTCCTTTCGCGCCACGTAGCCGGCCTTCTAAACGACGCGATGGATATGAAATTCAATTCACACAGCCTCCTTCTTCAAGGTGTCGATTCATCATATATCCTTTCTCATTGTTAATTCCTCATATGCGTCTCATCCTAAACGTTGAAGTTGTTCGGTCATTCAACGGAAGAAGTTAGGGCACGTTTTCTTGCTCTTCTTATTTCGTCGAGTTGTCTGTGATCCAAAATGATCGTCAATATAGAAAATACCTTCAGTATCAAAAACTACCGGCATCAAATTACAATTTTGAATGTTGAAGTTGCACTTTTACGGAAGAATGGAGACGGGCGAATTTGATGACGATGTTGAATTTCTCTTCCTCTTTCTCTATTTACAAACACATGGATCCACTTTTACAATCGTCCATGTATGTTTCCAGTGTATCCTTAGTTGATGGGTTCAATTGGAAGTCTCAAGTCTAATCATACATTCGCTTTAAGTTCTTGATCGATTGATCTATTGATAATTTCAAAAGGTAATTTTCAACTTCATCCAACAAGTCAACTTAATCCTCTGGAAATTATTTGTGGCTGCCTTTACCACCATTTACTAACGTTTTCTCCCATCACCACCGTCTACCGCCATCATCATCGTATGCCTCTGGGTTCCTATAAAACCCTATATGCGGTGACATAAATTTCTGCTTTGTGATAATAGACACACACACACACATAAATATTGTCCGACATCTAGGGTTCAGAGTAAGAAGAAGGCCCAAATTTATGGCCCTCATCTCGGCTCCCTCCTCTTATATATCCCCTCCTAATCTCCCAACCTCTGACCTGTCATATCCTTTTAACTGTGGCGCCTTTTTTTGTTGCCGACTGCTGTGACAAATTGGCCAGAAAAGGTGATTACTTTGTCTCTGGTGTTGATATGAGGACATTTTTGTGTCCGTTGAATCAATATTTAATTTTAATTTTAATTTAAAGTTTTGTTATTCTTGTTTTGACCATTTACTTCAATGGGGGTCTGAGAATGCGAAACATGTCTAATTTAATTGTTCTGATTACTTTGTCTCTAGATGTGAGTTTGATGATTTGTATTCCCATATTTTGTTATACTTAAAATTGCTTAGTTTTGTAAACATGCATTTTTTTTAAACTTGAAGTCTTGAAATGTTCACAATCCTAATTTTTGATAGATTGGTCAAATATATGAACATACTTACCTGAAACCCCTGGCTACATTCCTCTGTTTTTTTTTTTAAATATAAAAAATAGAATATTTGAGTTATCAACCTTTTCATTAACTTCTTCATAATAATAATAATGGCGGTATTTATGGAATATTTGGTCTCAAATAGTTCAACGAAGCTAGATTTTTTGAGTACTTTTAGTTGAATATCGGCCTCTATCATGATTTGGGGTTTAATTTTATTCACTTTTGCATGTCTTTTGCAATTAAGTTCAGGCTCAAACGCTTTAAATATTTTAATAATGGTAAGTAGCTATATAATCGTTGAAACAATTCATGTATGAGTTAGTTGTGCATCCTTTATTAAAAGAATCATAAAATGTCAGGTCAGTTGTCCGCATAAATGGACAAACCCAAACAAAACTAGAAAAACCAAAATGATGTTTTTTCTTATAAATAAATTGAATTTTATGATTTCAACAAGGAGGAGGACAGCTCATCGATCTCAATGAATGTCTTGATGATGTTGATACATGGATGGAAAGATTTTATTGTCTTGTGAACTGTCCATGGCTTGGAAGAGATCCATTCTTCTGGTTTGTCATTCTTTCGATGTATTTACTTAATTCTTTTAAGAGAGATAAGAAATGTGCATGGATCGTATTTGGTTCAGGCTTGTGCTTTCTAATTTACATATTTTTGAATTTTGTGATTTCAATCAATTAGAATGATTTTTAGCCGCATAATTTTTGATAAAAAAATGTTAAATCATGGTCCATTTTTTATTTAGATCAATTTAGAAAGTTATAAATACTTGAATATAATGTAGGCGCCTTCAAAGTTGCTCTTTTGTATGATTTATAACCAAAGTCACTCGGATAAAAAGGGATGCTTAGCGAGTTTTTTATACTACTTAGTTCTCTTAGGAAAAACCATTTTACTACTCCAGGAGCTCCATTTTACAACATGTGGATTTAGCTTGAATGAGCAATATCATGGCTATGGATCCACAAATGCCAATTTTGGTGTGGTAGGTATGCCCTACAATTAAATTTTGGTTTCAGATTAAATTTCATCTGCACACACAATTAGGAAATGCAAGAAATGGAACATAATTTCATATCTTTTTTTTACAATAGCATCCTAGTTTAATTTTGTTTTGTTAGAACATTATTCTTTGAAAAGTGTACTCCATTAAGAAAACACCATTCATCTACGAAGCATCTTTCATTGCTCTAACCAGTGTTCCCTACTGATCAGTATTCCTTCTCTTTTATAAATTTCTTTTGACACTTATCGGAAATTTGTTAATGGTGTTCATTATGAAATGTTTAATTTCATGCAGAATGCTTATAGTTATCGATAGTATTTGGATACAAAAGAATAGAAGAGACAATCATGGAGGTACCATAAAAAGTACAATACATGAGGAACCAAAATTTGCAAGCGGTGATTACAAAACGAAACATATGTTATTTTTCATGATTTTATAGGACCAAGATCATCTGCCTATGTCGTTGAACATGCTACAACTATTTTCATTAAGTTGTTTCAGCCACCAACACTTGTTGCAAGGCTACAGAAATTTTGAAAAGTTTTGGGTGAATTATTACGGATGATGTATCAACTTAAATCAATCCCATCAACCTCATTATTGACACAAGCCACCACCTCCCAACTACTCTCACTTCAATAATAAAGAAGAAACTATGCCCCACCACCATCCCTATCCTGACCAGCCAGCCTGCAAGAGTAACGATATGACTTCCCTGATTATTTCTTAAAATGTTGGTTTTTTTCCTGGTGGTTTTCCTTGAAGATAGGTAGAGAGAAGGAGGATTGAATGTGATTGTGTAGAGCTTGACGCCTAGCATGAGTGTGCTCAGACAAATCTCTTAGCCAAAGCTTGAGATTGTTGAGAAGAAAAAAAAATTGCAATCGGGGAGATGAATTAAGGAAAATCGTTGCTAAAGAATTATTGTTAATCAACAATGATGCTTCAATTTGTAAACCACATTAGGGAAAATCATTTTCTTGTCCTGTCGGTGTACTAATCTCTCTGTATCATAATTGCTTCAACTTATATACTCGTTTTCTTTTTGGTATGTGATTGTATCTACCAAACTTTCACTTAATGCAAATTGATTTGGAATTACACCATTTGAATTTTAGACCTGCTTTATAGAACTCTTTAACTCATCATGTTCATTTCAGTCACCACAAACAATGTGCTTGATCAAGCATTCATGTTATGCTTCAAGACATACAATATAAGCCTCATTTTGGAAGTTTTTACAGGAAGGTGATTGAGATTTTATGAATTGAGTTGTATATTTCACCTCCGATGGCAACATACTTTTTAAAGACAATGTGATTTAATTTTCTTAACTTCAATAGCAATGTATTTTCATTTCTTTACCACTAATAACAACACATTTTTTCTTTACTAATAATAAAAACATACTTAAAACTCTTCACTCATAATAGCAATGTACTTGAATTTCTTTAAAAATTTTTTACAATGGTGAATGAAATGTCAATATTACCCTCCATGGCACGACCCTCAAAACATACCTAGTATATATATATATATATATATATATATATATATATATATATATATATATATATATATATATATATATATATATATACTAGCCGTTTGTCCGCGCAAAGCGGCGGCGGCGAATAGTTTCTTTCAAACAATTAGTTCCATTCGGAGATATGTTATATTTCTAAGAACACTTGTACCATTATCGATCGGTTTCACAAAAATAAAAAGTGCAATGTCAAAACCAAAAAATATTGTGGTGGTGGATTTCATGGAGGAAAAGGAGATGAAGATTTGAATTAGTCTACAGTCAACTATATTTTATGCAAAAAATTAGGGAACTCCAATTAGAATGGGTTTTTAAATTTTAAACGATTTGTCGAAAAGAAGTGTTTCAGATTTTAAATGCACCAGATACCAGAGAATAAATATTTTAGGAGTATAAGTTAGGTCAAAATTGATGAAAATACTAATTCAATCCCTAAAAATAAGGAAATACTAATTTAAATGTGTTTTTAATACTTGTATCTCTAGCATTATCATTTCTAAGATATATATTATAATATTATTATATTAATAGTTGATTGTACTTTAAGCTTAAAAACTTGAACGTCATAAAAAAATATTATTATTATATTGATTCTATTTATAGAAATAGTAAGATTTCTTTTATAAGGTAGTATATATATATATATATATATATATATATATATATATATATATATATATATATATATATATATATATATATATATATATATATATATATATATATATATATATATATATTACACTTCAGCTCTAACAAAACTCGTTCACAAATCACACTTCTCACTCTTCTCTTCGTCTTCTACTCTTCTAGGTTACAGCCGACATTCCAAATTGCCGAGTCGACATTCCAAATCGACTGAAATCACATCGCAAGCTACGAGCCTGCGATAGACGATAGTGCGACCAACGGGCAACGACAGACGATACGCAACCCACAAATCGAACAACTTTGTCTTCGATCGACGCCACACAGTGACGCTCACGCACAAGAAACAATCACAGGTAATCGATCATTCGATCGCATCTTTCTTTCTCTTCATTTTTCTTGAAATTGATCATATGTAATCGATCACTACTTGCATCTTTCTCTTCAATCGTTCCCTGTGACCATGTATCTTTCATTCCCTGTGGTAATTTGGATTCTTGAAATCAATTTCTTATTTAGAATTAGAATATGTGTCCTACTGTATCTTTCATTCCCTGTGGTAATTTGGATTCTTGAAATCAATTTCTTATTTAGAAATCTGAATAACGTTTTGAACCTTTAGAATCTGTAAAGTAATTTGTTTTATAATAAAAACTAAGGAAATTGAATTGTTTTATAATAAAAGCAACTTTTGTTTGCCCTGTTTGTTAACCTCTTAAAAGTTTAGATATGGTTTGTTTACCCTCTTAAAATACACATCTGAATTTGTTAAAATACACAGAAGGGTCATTTTTATAATTAATGAAAATTCAGATCTTAAACAGTATTTGGGCTTTGGGCCAAATAAATTATATCGAATTATTGATTCTTCATCGATCACGAGGCTTCTTCTTCTTCTTCTTCACCGATCAGCTCAGCAGGCTCGGATTTTGAACCAGGTATGTTAATTAGGTTTAGGTCTACGTATACGAGTTCATTGATAAAACTGCTTGCGTAATTTAATTTTGATATCAGGCTGTGTGTATGTTTCACCATTTGTTAATTTCTAGTTCTGATTCCGCGTTCTTCATAGTTTTGCTGTAATACATAGCTTCTCATTTCTAAATGTTTTATCTTTATGTTATCAGAGTGGCTTACCACCATTAATTTCGAGTTCTGATTCTGCCTTCCTTTTAAGTTGGCATCCATATTCTTTAGCATCCGGTTGTTTTGGCTCTTACAGTTTTTTGTTTTCATTCAAGTTTATGAATGCCTACCAGGTGTTTGATGTTTTGTTCCTTTTAACACCACTACTTTTACTTAATCCTCAAGCATGCCTAGTCTTCTATTTGGAAGCACTTTTGTGAATTCTTTTAGTTTTTGTTCTCATTCAAGTATCCCAATTAGTATATACAATGTCCCCTAAATGACATAGTGCGTATGTGATTCATATTCATAAAGATGCTCTTTTTATATACATAACAGAGTTACTTCTTCTGATCTTCAACTTCTAATCTATATAACCCCTTTCCCCCTTCTGTGGTGGGTGTGGTGCAGCTTCCTTGGGACATAGGAGAAGCGTGAGATATAGAAAGAACATGGTGGCTGCTTCCGCCTCCTTCAGGTGGATACTGCAACTGCATAAAGATGTTCCAAAAGCTGCAAAATTTTACAAAGAAGGCCTTGATTTCACCATAAATGTGTGTACTCTCCGGTGGGCTGAACTTGAATCCGGCCCTCTCAAGCTCGCTCTCATGCATTCTTCCAGGTCACTTTCAATCCTCTCTCTCTCTCTCACACACACACACCCTTTTGATTCTACATGGCGATATGAGTTCTTCTGTATATATACACTACAGTGAGATTGAGGTTCAGAAGGGATACTCATCACTGTTATCATTCAGTGTGACAGACATTAACAGCACGGTGACTAAACTCATGGCTTTAGGTGCAGAGATGGATGGGCCTATCAAATATGAGGTCCATGGAAAGGTAATAATAATAATAATAATAATAATAATAATAATAATAATAATAATATATTAAGATTGAAAAGATTGTTGCTTTTGTTGGCAGGTTGCTGCAATGAGGTGTATTGATGGTCACATGTTGGGTCTTTATGAGCCTGTTTGAAACATTACATTTTAAAACCCAATAACAACCATTTTCCTTTTGATTATCAAAGTGTATTCTTAAGTCTTAACAACAGGTAGATTGTTTGTAACTTTCTCTTTTTCTTTCATTGAATTTGTAGTTCCTGCCTCTTCAATACATACATACAAATTTTCATATTGCTCTTTTCAAAATATCATAATACTGTTGTATACCTCTCTACTGTTTCTCTCTTTTTTTGGCCCCAAAATCCATTACCGAGTATTTAGAGAAACTTGGAAGGAGGTTCTTATGGGGTGGAAATGATGGGAAAAATAAAATCCATTGGGTTGCTTTGAAGAAAGTTTTAAGTCCAAAAGAAAAGGGTGGGCTCGGGATTGGTTCTCTGGTCTCTCTAAATTGGGCCCTGGTCACCAAATGGATGTGGCGTTTCAAATCAGATCTGCATGCTCTTTGGCGGAAGGTCATTTGTGGGAATTGGGATACATAACTCTTATAGGAAACCGGTGTCTGCTATTGCCAACAAATCTTTTCTGAGCATCTAGTATAACATTAATAAGGTTATTATATGTTTAAATGATACTGGAATTCCTCTTTCTTCTATGTTTGAAATTCATGTGGGATAACGTTGTTTTGGACAGACAACTGGAAGGGTGATGGGGTCCATGTTGCCATGTTTTTGAGTTTGACAAAAGAAAATCGTGCTCCATCAGTGAGATTGTTACGTTTGCAACGAATTTGGGGCAATTGTCCAAAAAAAGCACAAAAAATCTTCATCGCTATCTTCTACGGGCTGTTTTGGTGCATATGGAAGGCGTGCAACGAAAAATTGTTCAACAAAAGGTTCTTCTATCCAGATAAGGTGGTGGGCGAGGTGATTTCTTTAGTTTTTAGTTGTGTTAAATATCAAGAGCGGTTTCAGAATTGTAATTGGATTGATTGGTGTTGTTGCCCATTTAACACTATGTAAGCTTTTTGTGTTTCTTTCTTAGATGTGGTTTAATAAAGAGTAGGTCAGAATTTAATTCTTCGATAACATACAATTGACGATGAAGATATTTTGGGGATTACATCGAGAATAAGATGCAAATGATGTGAAGATGTTTGTTATGCCCTTGGAGTATACAATTCCCTATGCAATATGTATAATATTAACGGTGTAATCTTTTTAATCTAATCCTTTGATTAATTAATCTTGTGTCTGGATTTAGTAGTAACCAAAAAATGGTAGGAATCATCAAAACAGTTCTTCACCACCGATTTCGTCAAGAGCACACACCTCAAACGCAATTACCATGTCGTTACACGTTTGAATATGGCGGACGTCCGTGAAACGTAATATGGATTTGACGATACAATCACATGCGACGAACGTACATGAAATGTTATATAAATCATTTTCCTTTCTTCTTCTTCTTTTGCTTCTTTATTTTTTTGTTTTAATTTTTTTTAAAGTTCTCTACTTTTTATATGTATTTTTGTTTTTGTTACTGTTTATAATTTAAAAAAAAATATATATTTAAATAAACTTTCTTAGAATTACATATATTTTGTTTTTGATTTTTTAATATGTTTTCAGTTTTGAATATCTTTTATTTTTCAAAATGTTTCTAGTACCTATTTAGAGTTTTTTTTGTTTATTTTTTTCAATTAAATATCAGTTCGAGTCTTTAAAGTTTAACATTTATAAAAAATTCTGAATCATAACAATTTAATGTATCATATATTTTTGTGTCATAAAATTTTGGACCTTACCATTTTCGATCATATATTTTTTGATCATTAAAACTTTTAATCATATTTTGCATCATATAATTTTAGATCATATTATTTTAATCATATGATTTTGGATCATAATAAATTGAATTAAAAAAATGACCAGGAAAAAATTCCGATCATTATATTTTTTGAATTATAAAATATATAATAATTAATGATCATAAAATATTTGAATCAATGTTTTTAGATAAAAACAAATTAAGGATCATAAACAAGTTAAATTATAAAGTTTTTGAATCACAATTTTTTTTTAAGTAAATCTCATTTTGGATCATATATGTTCAATATACATACTTTTTAGAAATGATAGTATTTTAAAATAAAGATTGGTATCTAAAACACCTTGTTTTGTAAAATTTCTTTTTGAAAATCTTCATGCAACCTTAGAAGTTCATGGGCTTGGGCTATGATAATGTAGAGGTGTCACAATAGACCACGAAGGAAACCCTAGAAGATCTTAGATTTTCATATTTAAGAACGATCATAAGCACAAACAAAGAAAGAAATAAAAGATAGGGATAAAATACATACCATTAACCACATCCGGCGCTGCACGAGCCTCATCGGTGGTCAGCTGAAATGCCCTGTTCTTCAGCACAGGAGCCTCCGCCTTGCCCTGACGGAAATCAGTAATCCTCAATGTGGATCACATATGCACCGCTACAACTCCCCCTAATAATCTCGTGCATTCGAACTTTTTATGGACGGTGTGATTGCAATGGAAGGAAATCAGAGCATTATTGGGGTATTCCCTATTCATGTGACCCAACTGGATACAACTATAACAACCTGAACCTACCGCTCGACATGCACCCACAGTGTCGCTTGCAGCAACGGTCCCAACGTTGTTAGCCTCTAATACGAGGATTAAAATTCTCGGGCTTCTTCGCATGGCCCACAACTATATGTACCTGCTTCGACTTCTGCTTGGTCCGAAACTCCAACTCAATCTCCCGCTCACGGGCCTTCTCGATTATATTTTTAGGGTCTTGCACCCTAAAAAGCTCATGAACTCCTAGATATCCTCCGTCAACATGTCATGGTATCTTGTTTTCCTCATTTCCTCATCCGCAGCATACCGAGGGACCAACAAAGTCCTCTCCTAGAATATGGCAGTAATCTCTGGCACAGTCTCAGTAATCTGGCTAAGGTCCTAGAACTCCCTCACCAGCCACTGCACCTCAATAGCTGCTGCAAACTCCCTCTAAAATATCTGAACAAAATCTTCCCAGGTCATGATTGCCACTGCCGCTAACCCTACTTCTCGGCTAACCATCTCCCACCAGTCTCATGCTCGGTCCCTCAGCAGGCAGGATGCAAATCCAACCTTTTCCCGCTCAGGGAAAAACTCATTCGCTGGGCATTCTCCATTTCAACGATCTAGTGTCGACTAGAAATGGGGTCCTAAGCCCCAAAAACCTCAGGATCTCCATAGGCCTCCTTAGAGTTTGCATGTCAACACTTGTCTCAGGTACATGTCCTGTGCAACTAGTAGTATGGGCCCAATACCACCTTTCACACCTACATGTACCTTCTTCAAGGTCGTTCTGAATTCCTCTAAGTCACCCCAGTAAAACAATATACCAATCTAATGTTATACAACATACATGTCCTAGACTTTCCTACGAATTCTCAACTCTCACCACTCGCAATACCAAGATACTCAATCAACACCGTTGGTTGCCTTATGCATGCAAGTTATACACAAAATAGGATCACATAGACTGTCAAATGATGATTCTACCCTAAGTAGACAACCAAAAAAGGAACAGGAAATGAGTCCAAATTGATCATTATAGGGTTATACAGTCCTAATCGTATACAACTTTGAAAGAATACACTTAGCAATTAACTGAGCTGATATCAATTCCAAGTAATACATAACATCAAGTTCCACTAGGCTATAAGGCATCACACAAATCAGGAAATTCTATCATTGTATCATATGATACCTGAAGATATCCTTATCCCTAATCTAGCATGCAATTTTCATATCAAACATACTACTTATAATACATATATATATATGCGTAACTTGAGAACCAATTTTTGGAGCACGGATGATTGCACACATCGCATCCCTTCTTCTTACAAAAAATATTTTTAGAATTTTAACTTCATTTTTTTATAGAAAAAATAGCATTTCTTCAGTTTGAGTTCTCGCACACCCGAAAGTGTAGCCAAATACCTCAAAACAAGGCTCTGATACCAACTTGTAATGTCCCGAAAATGGTAATAAAAATTTTCATTTAAAAGTCCATCAAATCATCCATTAACTTTTCAAAACCAACATCAAGTCAAAACATTCATAAAATCATAGTACATTTATTTCATTTGCGGAAATCATGAGGGGAGGATGTGGTGCCATCACGTCGGGTCCTTCCCTTTCGAATCGAAAGTACCTGAAACCATAAACACAAACTGTAAGCACAAAGCTTAGTGAGTTTGTCACACCCTAAAACCGGAACGACGGAAACGTTCTGGGGTGGATGACGTCATGTCAAGTATCACAACATATGCAGTATAGTAATCAAAGTACAACAACCATTGCATTAATAGTAATAGTTTTACACAATTTACATTGCATAGAAGCATCAAAGTAATACAGAAACTACTATAGTTGCAGCTCGGTACTAAACTGTCTTCAGCAAAAGCTCCTGGGATGTACTTGTCTATTGCTGACCTAAGAATACAAGTTATTTTGAAAGCGAGTATCAACATTTTTATAAATGTTGGTGAGTTCATAAGTATTTAGTGTCATTTGTGTAAGCAAGAATTTTATTCAAAATAACTTTATAAAAGTACTAGTTTAGAATCAACGGTGTATTAAAGAGTCTTTTTCAGAAAATCCTATATTTTCTAAATAAAAGTAGTCTTCTACCAAGACCCGACAGAGTTAGGTCTTAAAGAGTAATTTTCCCTGAAATACTATCATTACCAAAATACAGTATTTGATTTTAAAGGAAGTAGGAGAATATCACTAGTAAAAACATTAGGGAAAATAACATATGCCTCAGCAGGAAATACTGCTGACTAAGGCAAAAGAAATCATAGACTCCAGGAGAGTATCGAATGAATGATATGCCTGGCTCAGTCTAACATAAGGAAACACAGACCCCAGGCGGTATCAAATGTATGATACGGCTAGCAATGTCTAAAACAAAGAAACACAGACCCCAGACAGTATCAAATGAAAGATATAGCTAGCAAGGTCTAAAACAGAGAAACACAGACCCCAGACAGTATCAAATGAAAGATACAGCTAGCAAGGTCTAAAACAAAGAGTAATTCTAAGAGTGTGTTTCCAGCATATAGTGTTAATTATCGTTACCTTAAAGCCATGAATTATAAGGTAAACATGGAGATACTCGTAACCATACTAATCGTCCCTAGAGTACTTGACGCCCTGCAAGCGTCGGTGTAAATATGACATTTGTCACCCCTTAGCTTGGTAGGCCGTAGACTGTAGCTAGCAGTCAGGTTGCGGGGGGTGTCAATCCCGTATAGATCTATACATACAATGCCCACTCTCCCTACAGGAGACTCTAGTTACCAACTCGACGACGGGGAGATCCGTGTCTTGAAGATGCATCTCGTAATCTGAATTCTATTAAAGGCGCTGGACTAACGGTAGAGACTCACAACTGAACTGATCGATGTAAACCTTCATGTCTATACAGGTATACTTGATATATAATTAATGTTTAAACGACCTTCGGGCGAATATTCAATCCCACCAGACCACATCCAAACGAGGAAAAGGAAATAGGGCGAACTAGCCTTCCTAAGTCCTTTAAACATCATTTATATAACTATACAGGTACAGGCATGCATTTAACGACGCAGAAGCATTTAACTAAGTAGAAGCGTTTAACGAAGTAGTAGCATTAACGAAGTAGGAGCGTTTCACGAAGTAGAAGCGTTAACAAAGTAGAAGCATTAATAAAGTAGAAGCGTTTCACGAAGTAGAAGCGTTAACAAAGTAGAAGCGTTTCACAAAGTAGAAGCGTTTAACGAAGTAGTAGCATTTAAATAAGTAAGAGCATTTAACGAAGTAAAGGAATAACTAAGTAGTAGTATCTAAAGAAGTATAAAAACATGGAAGAAAACTTTGATGAAAATGGAAAAACCTTTACACTTAAGAAAATCATGACTTGGTATTATTTTGTAAAATAATTTTGAAAACCTTTAGAAACCCTTGAAAATCTTTCATAAACAAGTCTGGATTATAACT